CAGCCATTATTGTTGTTTGGTGGGCCCAGGCTGGATTCGAACCCACCACCTTAGGTGTATGTGGCTGGCACCTTAGCCACTTGAGCCACAGGCACTGAGCCAGTTTACTGCTTATTTAAAAAGCTCAGAGCAAAACACAATAGGTTATAAATACATAACATGTTATAAACAGCAGCATTTCCCAAGTGTGTTTCTAAGGACATCAGTGCTACAAAATGGAGTGCTACAAAACTACTTTAAAATGGAGTTCAAGGGTCATGTCTTATACCTAATTGCCTATACATTTCCATATGGATATCTAAGAGATGTCTCAAATTTAACTTGTCCCAAACTGATGGGATATTCATCCTCTCAGTAAATGGCAAAACACACATCCCTCCAATAGCTCAGACCAAAAACTTCTTAAAAGTTTTCTTTACTCTTCTATCCTCATCAATCCACCAGCAAACTGTCTCAACCCTACAGACATTTTCACTTTCACCCTAGTCCAAGCCACTGTTCTCTTTTCCATGTGTTATTATAGTTGCCTTCTCACTGGTCTCCCTACTTTTGTCCCTGGCCCTCCCTTATGTCTATTCTCAACACAGAAGTAGATCGGTCCTTTTCAAAGGAAAGTCAGATCATCTCATGCATCTACTGGCTTCCTAGTTGATGCAGAATTAAAGCCAGTTTTTTCCATGGCTTGTACTGCCCTACATGAATTTGCCTCTGATTATCCTTCCATCCTTACTGCCTATTACTCTACTCCAGATACAGCATGAAATGAAAGCTTCTATCTCAGGGCCTTTGCACTTGTTCCCCACTTTATTGGTGTAGGTTTTTTTTGAATATTCCTTATCAAATAAGAAAGCAATTCCAGCTCCACACCAGTTTTCTCCAGTCCCATTCCCAAGCTTCAATTTATTTCATAGTATAGCATATGAACTTTATGTCCACCCTGTATATACCACTGTCACATCTTGCTATATTTACTTATTGTCTGTTTCCTTTAGGATATCAGAAGCTTTGTTTTGTTTCTGTCAACTGCTGTATTCCTAACATCAAGCCTAATCAAATACATCATATGTCTGAGTGTGTATGGGGGAAGGGTGAGAGGAAGAACTATTGAAATACTTCAGAAATAGTGTTCCTTAGAATGTACTTTGGGAAACTCCAGTTCTGGAAGAAGAAAGTTGGAACTTGTAGCTTTCTGACGCAGAAAACAAATGCTTGAATAGGTAACAGATGAAATGGCTCAATATTTAAAATGTTAAGCTATATTTCAAAAGAAACTGGCTATTACTATAATCTAATTTTCCAGTAGACTTAAAAGGTATTGGATAGTGGGGTAGAAAATAACAGGACTTTTATTCTTGTCTTGTACAAATTATCTTTCTGAGCCTAAGACCCATCTGTAAAATACCCAAGGTACTGCCAGGAGGATTGAACATGATTGCTTACTTTGTATGTTGGTTTGACTTTTTTTAATTTCTTACAGATATAAAATATTTCCATTTCAACTTTTCCTTAAAAAGGAAAAATTGTGTTTTTTTCTTTACAACCGCAAAATTTTAGGAACAATTCTAGATTTCTCTTTTCTTTAGTGCCCCATCCTCGTCCATTCTACAACCACTACCCCACTACTGTCAGCATGGGACAATCTCAGCTGGACCAGAGTGGTAGAAAATGTCCCAGTAGGGAAATGAGATTTTATCAAGACCTGCAACTGGGGAAAAAGGAAAGACTGTATCAGAAGGAGGAGGAAAGATTATGCAGCGCTTAAACAATACATTTAATACTATAGTTTTATAATTCAGTGGAGGAAAACCCTATAGATTTAGTACAGAAAGAAAAGCTCAACATCATTAATTACCTTGGCTGATGGAGATGCACATGTACTGACTCAACCAAAGACTATCTCACTGGGATGTTGGGACATTTTTATGGGGTACTGAGTTCCTTACTGACAAATTTGTGCCCTAGCCTCTCAAATCTTTATCTAAGAAGGAAGGTAAGTGCTTCTTTTTCATACCAATATATCACTTTAATACTTAGAACAATTTTCCCAGCTTGGTGGTACAGTATTCACTTTGCAAACAATCAAGGCTACATGAAGTTAGGTAACTTGTCCATAATCACAGTATCAACGGAATTGTAATTTAACTCAGTGTAATCCCAAAACTCCTGCTACACGAAGCGGAACTTGTCTGCAGAGAATGAGCAGGGACCAGGCTTTCCGTATGCTCTTGCCCGTATTTAACCTGCCCTGTAACCCGCAGGTAAGAGAGCTATGGGAATCAAATAAGTTGCCGTAGAGTTGGTGCAAGAACATTATTTAGCACTCTTGATGAAGACTTGGTCTCAACCCAACGGACTCAAAAATAATTTCACTATTTCAAGTTAAGTGTTTTTAGAAACTCGCCGCTTTCACTGAAAAATCAGAGGACTGTGCCCTCAGATGGTCAAAACGGGCCCCTCACTAGAGTTCCTCCTTTTACAGCTGATTCAATGCCAATCTGGCCATCCTGAATTTTCCTGTAATTATTATCACAATCTCCCGCAGAGGGCAAAGCCCTAGCCCCAACTCAAGCACCAGCACTCTCCGCCCACCGAAGCTACGCGCATGTGCTCTCGCCGCCTCTCCTGAGGCTATCACCACCTGGTGGCGCCACTTCCCCCCACACGCGATTCCCCGCTCAGCCCGCTCTTTCGAATACCTTTGTCCAATTCCATAAGGGCAGAGTTAGCATCCAGTTCCTGTTCGCCATAGCCGGCATCTGCTAGGAAAGACTTTGTTGAGTTTGACGCCATGACTCGAATAATTACTCGATTAGTCTAATCGCAAAGATTGCAAACTCGCCCCAGAACCGCCATCTTCTCCCGCCGCCTTCTCGCGGATTTTTCCTCCGCGCGCTGTCAACCCGTGTAACGCATGCGCTTTGGTCACCCAGCAGTTCTCCGGCCCCTCTGCGGCCCCCCGCGCAGGCGCTCAGGGAGCTCTTGGACTCCAGGTTCCCGCGGCTCGGAGAAAAGGAGGCGGGGATATGAAAGGGGAAGTGACTCCAAAGCGCCCGGACGCTGCGGCGGGAACCAATCAGGGAGCGTGACGTCAGTTTGGCGCGGAGTTTGGCGGCCGGGGCTTACAGTGGCGGGAGTTGGAGGAAATAACGAGTCGTGGTGTGAGGGGTGCGAGCTCCGATTTCTGCTGGTCTTGGGGGCATCGCCACTGCTTTTTTTTTCAGCTCACCTTTTTCCTTTGGCCCAGATGCTCTTCAGTTCGGTGCTTCGCCAGCCCCAGCTTGGCGTCCTGAGAAGTGGTGAGTAACGGTCCCAACCGCTGCTCGTTGCTGGCGGGATTCACCTCCCCCCGCGAAATACACACCACCTCTGTTCAGGGCCGATTCCAATTCTGTTTCCCAGCCGCCGAGTTCTCACACAGAAAAAGTGAATTAGTAAACTACTGAAGAAAGTTATACTTTCATTTCTTCGGGACACTTTTTAGTCGTAATCGGGCTTTTTCAGTAGGCCGAAGAAAGGGACGTTGAATTAACTGGCTTCTGAGGCCTCCTGCGGCTTATGTCAATATCGCGCGTTAACTAGAAGACGCGTGCATTTGTGTATGAGTGTTTCTGTTTCTCCCAACAGCTATGTGAGATCATCAAGACTCATAGTCTTTGATTAATTCATTCGTTTGTTATAAAGCCTTAATGAGCCCTACTGTTTGCTGTGATATGCTAGTGGATATGACTCGCTGTTGAGGAACTCAGTCAGGCAAAGAAGACTGAGAACATCTGCTTCTTGCAGGGTCAAAATCTCCCCCTCCCCCTACATGACGACGTGGTCATAAAAATAATAATTACAGAGTGCAAGATGCCCATAACCACATTCCCCAGAAATGTCCACTGTTAATAAATAGAAATATATTATTCTAGATGTTTTTAGATGCCAGAGGTAGTATCTGTTATTTTCAGAAATGGAATAAAAATGTTTTTTCACTTTAATAGGGTCAGTCAGACATATTCCCATTTTAGTGTGTAGAAATCCAATTTGTTTCCTACAGTTCTTTACGTTCCTGTGTTAAAACATTGGCAGTAAGAGATTTGAGTTTCAGTTTGGGTGTTATCAACTTGAAACTTTTTGATAAATTTGTGGCAAAGCGGTTAACTATCCAGACTAACCTTGTACAGAAATGAAATCCTACTCACTTAAAGGCCGTTTATATTCAGAGATCCTTTTTCTTTTTTCTTTCTTTTTTTTTAAAGGGAAACATGAAACTATTGAAGAAGAGAAAGATAAACTTTACAGAGTAAGACAGTTTACAAAGCAGGATATATTTGCTGTCTAAGGCCAGTGGGCCTCCATGGACAAATAGGCAAAGAGGCCCCAGACATCCTTTTTCACCATGAAACCAAATGGAAAACAAAAAGAAAAGTCCTGAGAAGGGAGTTTTTATATTTAAGGAGTAGGTCTAAGAAAAGAATGTTGAAGAAGTAGACTTGAGTAGTCCCTTAACTTCCTGCTCCCAATCTAAAACTTGATTTTATACCATCCTTACTTCCCTCTTAGATAATTGTGTAAATATATTCTAATGCTCCTCTTTCTGTCTCTACTAGGACTTTGCCTGAGTCACTTCTCTGTCATGAGTGGCAGTATGCACCATATTGGTTATGAGCTCTATCTTAAGAGTTAAACTGCCTGGGTTTTAATTAACAGCTGTGCGCCTTACTATTTGTGTATTTGGAAAAGCTGTTGAGACTATTTTGTGACAGATTTTCTCCCAATTCTCCATTCCATCTGTCTACTTTTCCCCCTCTTTCCTATTCACAAATATTTGTGTTCTGTGATAAACATTGAAATTCATTCATTATAATATGTTACCTGCCGAAATCTATATGACCATCTTATCTTATCCCTTCACCTTCAATGTTGCTGTTCCATTCTTGGCCCCTTTTCTCCTACCTACTGCCAAGGATGATCATAGCCATAATTAGGGCTTCTTCCACTACTGCCTCCAACCTTACGTTGTCTGTACAGTATGTCCTCACTTAACAGTGTTAATAGGTTCTTAGGAACTGCTGTTTTAAACAACAAGACAAAACAATGTATGATGAAACTAATTTTACCATAAGTTAATTGATATAAATAAGAGTTAAGTTCTAGTGGCATATTTCTCATCACAAAAATACCATTAACCTTTTAAATAAGAACTCCAAACACTTCTAATATTTAATATTGAAATAAACGTGAACCATACATACCTTTAAGAAAGATTGTTATAAACAAGATAATTATTTAGAATTATTCAGTTTTTGTGAATCAATGAGTGATGGTGGTTGTAGTGGGATGGATTAAATAAAGGAATAAATGTACCACCACACAGTTGAAAAATAATCACAAATATGACAGCTTGCTGAGCTCTTTTGTACCACATTATTTTGTGCATTTGTGTAATTATTGTATACTTTACAAACTTTTGTTTTATAATTATTTGTACTTAATGATTTTCTGATACCCTTATTCCAATTCTGGATCTCTGGGCTCTGGATGGGTGCCCATAGCCTATCCTGGCAGCTTATGGCACAAGGAAGGAGCCAGCCCTGGACAGTATGCCATCCCATTCATTACAGGGTGTACTCATACACACACACACACTGAGACCAGGTAGATACACCAATGAACCTAATGTGCACATACATCTTTGGGAAGTGGGAAAAAACCATAGTACCAGGAAAAACAACACACAGACAAGGGGAGAATGTGCAAACTCTACACAGACAGTGACACTGACCAAGAATTGATATTTTTCTCTCATTAGCACGATAACAAAATGATAATCAATGAAATGATGTTGTTCAATAACCTGCTTTAGATCCATTTTTTATAAAAGCTGTATAGATTGGTCTTCAGCCACATATGTAGTCAGTCCCATAAGCATCTCAAACTCAAACAACCCAAACTGAACTTTTCCCCCAAACCTGGTATATTACCTATTTTAAGGGGTGGCCCCATTATTTTAAATCAGTCTTCCTAGCAGAAACCTAAAGTTGATAAAGACTCTTGTCTTCCTCACTATTACACATTCTAAAAGATTGCATAAAATCTCTAGAATCTATCCTCTTAATCCCCTCTGATTCTACCTTTTGAATCTGTTTTGTTCTTACCGTTCTATTTCCCTAGGTTGGGCCCTAATACCTTCTTGCTGAACTATAACAAGTCTCCCAAATGGCCTCTTAATTTCTGTCTCTCCAGTGTATTCTCCACATTGCTGCCAATAATCTTTTTAAAATAGAACTCTGGGCCAGGCACAATGGCTCATACCTGTAATTCCAGCACTTTGGGACACCAAGGTGGGAGGATTGCTTGAGTTCAGGAGTTCGAGACCAGCCTAGGCAATAGAGTGAAACCCTAGTTCTACAAAAAAATTAAAACTTTTTAAAAATTAATTAATTTTTTTCTTTTCACATAGAATCTCATTCAACTGTTGCGTAGGCGAAAGTGCTGTGACATCACCCTAGCTCATAGCAAACTCAAACTCTTGGGTTCAAACAATCCTCCAGCCTCAGCCTCCCAACTAGCTGGAACTACAGGTGCCTGCCATAACACCTGGCTATTTCTTTTGTTTTTTAATAGAGAGGGAGTCTTGCTCAGGCTGTTCTGAAACTCCTAAGCTCAAGTGATCCTCTCACATCAGCCTCCCATAGGATTAGAGGCATGAACTACCATATCCACCCTAAAACTTTTTTTTTTAATGTTTAAAATGAAGTAATATGTGCCTAGTCCCAATTGCTAGTGAGGCTGAGGCAGGAGGACCAGGTGAGCCCAGGAATTCAAGTTATAGTGAGCTATGATGGGGCTACTGCACTCCAGCCTGGACAACAGAGCAAGACTGTTTCTAAAAAAAAAAATAAAATAGAAATCTGATTACTTACTTTTCTGTGTAGCTTTAAATTGGCATCTAAAAGTATTTAAAAGTTTAATAGATGGAAAGAATAGAGTTTCTGCCAATATTGTGAATATTAACATTTCTAAAATACTACAATCACTCTTTTCTAATAGAATGTAAATACTATAGTGGTTTGAAAATATAAACAAACTCTTAAGCTCTGGACATTCTACATAGTTGTTTTTACCTCTTGAACTTATTTCTGTTTTATTCCTCACACAGAATTTGTCCAAATGTTATGCTTCAAAAGTTCTTTTTTGATCATATATCACCCTCTCTCTCAAAAACTACATATTTACATTGCTCTGTCATTAATAAGACTTCAACTGTTGGCTCAGTGCTTGTAGATCAAGCAGCTAAGGCTTCAGCCGCGTACACCAGAGCTGGCAGGTTCAAATTGAGCCCAGGCCAGCTAAGCAACAATGACAACTACAACCAAAAAATAGCCACGTGTTGTGGTGGGCACCTGTAGTCCCAACTACTTGGGAGGCTGAGGCAAGAGAATCACTTAAGCCCAGGAATTGGAGGTTGCGCTGAGATGTGATGCAACTGCACTTTACCTAGGATGACAGCTTGAGACTTTGTCTCAAAAAAAAGACTTCGATTGTTAAAAGTTTCTTCTGGATGGAATTATCATTACAATTATTAGTGGTATACAATTGATAAAAACAATGTAGAGTAATATTGATAAATAATAAGCAAAAAGTAAAACTTTATTGGAAGTGTAACTTTTAAAGAGATGAATTTGGGTGAGTATATGGTGCCTTTATTAAAGGAATTATCCAATTACCTCTTAGTTAAGGTCCTAGAGGTTTTTTTATTTAAACATTTTTAATTGATAACCAAAAGTTTTTATACTTTGGATCAGTGGAAAGATTCTGACTGGGACATGCAAATGCCTTTCCTTATGTTAAGCTCACAAACATCCATTTCCTAAACTGGAAGAAAGGAAGTGATGAAAGGGGAAGGGAAAGGGGGTGCCTCCACATTCTCAGACAGATCCGTTTCTTAGATCAGTTTTAGAAATG